AGCAGGAATTCCTCTGCCTTTGTATTGGTTGCTGCAAGCAACTTAGTATTCAGTGTTCTTTGCTCTCTGCTCTGTTAACTTCTCCATCTACTTTCTGTCTTTCCAGAATTCGACGCATTGTTTTCTGCTGTTGTCTTCTCTCCTGTTTTTCCTTTTCTATTGATATCTCTTTTCTGTAACTCCCATTTTAGTGAGGTTTCAAATCAAAGTGCATATAAAGGCACATGTTTAGTTGACAACATTTATCAGAAAATCCCCCAAACTTCTCACAATGTGGTTTTGCATCTGTTGGCTTCCTTGAGCCAACAGTTCAAATAAACGAAGAAAGGGATGATTTTGAGTGACCAACTTAGCGATCTGAGTGAGGCTGCATAAAGTGGAGAGAAGATCCTGGTCAGAGATGGGCAAAGCTTGACTTATAATCTGCAGCCCACTCTCTAATACCACAGAAATATTCCAAAGGCAAATGAAGGGCAAAAAATGAAGAGGATTCTTGGTGCATCTACTTCTGTAAAACTTCTGGGCCTACGTTTGTTTGGTGCTAGTTACTTAAAACTTAGCAAGAAGTTAATTCTGCTTCACTATAGTAATTATAGTGAGGGAACTGAAGTTGAGTAGAAGGTAGAAGATATTACTACTGCTAAAAAAAAATAAAATAAAAGGAAGAAGAAGAAGAAGAAAGTATTTTGAATCCTGGCAGAATATTGAAGAACAGTGATAAAGATACTATATTAAAGTGATGATTCTATTGAGGGCAAAACCCCAAACACCAGCTTAGAAGAAAGTTCATTTACCTTTTGATTTAGTGTTCTATTTTTCAGAGACATAACCTCGTAACACACCCAGAATTGCATTTAGTTTATTACTTTTATAAGAAAAAGGACAAGTAAAGCTAATGGATGGTATATTCAGGAAAATAAAGCTTAGGATATTTCTTTGTGTTTATAAAGAAATGTACTAGTATCTGGTATTTACTAAAATACAGCAGTCATTAATTACCATGAAAGCCTCAATTAAAAAAAAAGTAGATTAAATTGCACTTATAGAATTATAGTAAATCGAAGCAGAAAAGATACTTCTAAGATTATCTAGCCCAGTGGTTTCAAAACATGAATTTCCAAAGTTCTGGGTTTCTGTGAACTGCCTCAGGGGACCATGTGCAGGAATAGGTTACTAGGTAAGCATTCTGTTTATCTCATGGCAGCCCTGATTTATTTCTTTTATATATTGTACTTCTAGATAAGATTGTGTTTTAAAAGGGGCTTCATCTAAGTAAATACCATTTGTATCAACTGCATTTTTGAAAGGTCACCAGTGATCTTTTTCCTTGCAAAATCATGTTCGTTTTTCAGCCCT